GAGAGAGAGAGAGGAGAGAAAAAATAATATGCAATGCGCGTCACCCAGATGTGCAAGTCACACGACAAACCCCGCCGTTCTGCATCCATCGATTCAATCAGTCACTAGCTGTGTTGCGTAGCTTCTCCGCTGTGTGAGATCGTTAAGGTTTCTATGTCTAACACGGCACTTGGACGGGAATAACAAATACATAAATAAATCGCTGAACAAAAGCGCTCCTACGGACAAGAGTCTTCGACGGTCGTCTGTGGCCCCGCAAATTTTTCGGGCGCGCGCGCAACGATCTCGTCGTTTCCCCTTTTTTTTTTTATTTTACACCGGCGCGGTGGACTGGGTCGGATGGATTCGCCAAAGCCACGATGCACGAGCCAATTCCAAGTTGAAAAGAATTTCGTTTCCCTGAGCGAGGCGCAGCGACAATAAAAACCTGGCCCGAGGCGATAGAGGCAGCCAGGAACAATGGTTGGTAGATTAGATAGACAGACAGATAGAGAGGTACAGAAAAAAAAAAAAAACGGAGAAAAGAAAGAGAGGTTAAAAAAAGAAAAGGAAAAAGGAAAGAGTCACATTTCATATGCAAACCGACGTACGGATGACGATTCTATTCTATTGCAACGCTATTCTACTTAAATACGAAGAGAGAGAGAGAGAGAGAGAAAGACAGAATACTACCGTTTACTCTACAAGAGCACACTTTGGGCTTCTGGAACGTGCGAAACTCTTTCTTATCGTTCGTATCTTCCGTACTGACGACGACGCAGAGATTCGCAAAGGTATATAACGAACAAGTGAATAACAGTCGAGTTGCACATTTACGATAAACATCACACAATATATTCACAACACAGTATACAAGTGTCCCTTGCATTCACGATACTTGCGTCACGATTCAAGGGGGGGGGGAGGGAAGGCTCATAAATTCATATAGCGATAGGACGCGACGAAGGATGGCATGAGAGAAAGAATATAGAGATAAAGTGTAACCGAAGAGGAAGGAAGAGAGAGAGAGAGAGAGAGAGAGAAAAGAGTGACGGAAAAGAGAGAGAGATGCGTTCGCAAATAACAGAGCGCGTGCACGCACGCGAAGGAAAAAGTAGATGGAGAACGGAACAAGAATGGCAGATAAGAAAAGAAAGGCCGTTCCGATTCGGCGGGGAGAGGCGGGACAGGTGGGACGCTGAAAGGGACGATCATGCGAGTTGTCACAACGGCGCTTGTCTACGTCCCGTGGATATGTCTCGGCGACCCATATAAACCTCAAGCCA